TAAGTTTTTTCAAGGTTTAGATCACGTATTTTTCGTAAGTTTTAATCAATAGCTTTACACTGTGCTGATATATTAATAAGTTTTATTTTTAATTATCCTCCCTTCCAAGTCATTATTGGTGTTAATTGCAATTAAAAGAGCTACTGCAATGCAGCATAAATTCTTAAACTTGTAATATTTTTACATAATAAAAGTGTATCAAAACTGACCAAAACTCAAATTAGAATAATTCAGATGTCTACGGTATAGATGTCGAATTCCTAGTTATTTTTTTAATCTCTAATGAACCTCGTCGAAATCGCTGTAAAATTTTTTTTTTGAAGTATTGAAAATGTGCGCCAAGTTAAGTTAGGTATAAAGTCACATGAAATTTATCAAGTGTTTGTTCTCAGACCAAAGTAGTAACAGACAATCCTCTTTTCATGACCAATGAGTGGACGTGACAGAATCGCTAAAATCTTTTTTGGTGCTTCTGGAAAAAAGTAATAAAATTTTAACAAATTAACAGATAGCCTAAGAAATGATGTCGTTTGCGAACCCACACTTATACGAATCTTCCAATCAAGTGGTTCCACTCGATGTAATTTACAAATAAACTTTATTAATCTTCACTTTAAATGCGGTTTAATTATTTCTGCCCGCCGAGAACGAAATTGTAAGACGCTAATGTAAAGTTGTAAAGATTTTGATCGTGTTTACAATGAATAAAGTGTCGCAAACCCCCACGATTTTGGGTGAAAAATTTCGCAAGCTCCATTGTGCGCGCATACATTACATTACGACTTTGGAATGATCGGCCCGAAAGCTGACGAGCCCAAACGAACCGGTCGAGTTTATCGTGGCCATTAATTTCCAAATTTACAAGACGCGCGAAGTCGCAACTCACGTACCACGCACTTTTTTGCGCTTCCACGCGTTATTTTCACACAGCCATTAACCGCGAAACAAACATCAAGCGCAGGTGAAATTTTCCCATCACCCAAACCGATTTATCCCGCGATACAAGTATAATTTTAACGAGGCGCGACTTACCTCCCATCAAAAGTAACCCAATTATACTCACTTACGCTACTTAGGCATTAGCGAGTTCCTCGAGCGCCATTGCGAAACTTCTCGCGGTCCAGGAAATCAGACCTCCATCACTGCAGTGGCCAACTCTCCCCCCCGGGCGAACGAATCCGCGGTTCTCCAGCGAAAAAACGCCAAGTACCTCGCGTGTCCGTCCAACCGGGCGAGGGAACGAAAACCGGGGGGTGTCGGATAAAAAGACAGACGTTGGTATACGCGTCCGAACGGCATACCGCGAGAGCTCGCATTTGTCACGACTCGTAAAAAAAAAAAAAGAAAAAAAAAATTATAATGGCCCGCGGTTGCGCCCTTTCTATTATTGAATTCTCCGGCGCGCCTGCCAGAGTGTACTTTTGGCGCTGCGTGTATCGTATGTATCCACACGCAAGTGCAATGGTGGCTGGATTATAGATGTTACGATGTTATCGATAAACAAATTTTCATTTGATCCTCCAAAACTTTTCGATCCTCCCCTGTCGCCCAACAGCGCGTGTCGATAAATCGGGCCCCGAGGCTCGTATAATACAATCGGCAAAGAGCCTCGTACGAGAGTTTTCAGCTAAAATTCACGGAGCAGCGCTAGGAATGCAGTGCGCGTAAACGTGTACAAGCAAATCAGACCTTATCGCCGTCTCGGTAGGTGTAATAAGTTGGAATGGACTTGCTATGCTTTGATATGTTCCCCGATATAAGTACTGCTTTTCGCGGTGTCCTGCCCGTGTGCATTACAATCGTTATTTTCATGATTCGAATCGCTAAGAAAAATCGCCTCGCGTTTGTGTAGGTATCTAAAATATATAAGTACTTGATTTCAAGCTCGCGGCGAGTATATGACGTAACGCGCAGCTATACAACTCAATAGCAATGTCCAAACGCCGGTGTGTACAGCTGATATAATGCAAGTGAAATAACTGTCGGATGCCAATATGTATATAATGCGCGCGTTGACACTCGTTTCCTATCGATTATACGTGAGCCGCGTTTTTCCATTAGCCATGGTCTCTAATTAATGGAACGCAAAGTAGTGTACCTACTACCGCAGCGCGCGCATAAAACTCAATGAGCCGAGACGCAATGAAATTCGTGACGAGCCCGAGGGGCCTGCCACTGCGCTGTGCATGTACAATACAAAAGTGGCTGGTGCGTGAATATAAATATATAGGTACACGCGGTGGAAGACTATGCGCCTACGGCAAGTGCGCCTCGTAGGTATATGTACGGGAGGTGGTCTTTATGAGTTATGGCATGACTTCGGGATTTCTTCAATATTATAATTATATATATTGTGCATGTAGGGATAATGAAAATTCCAAAATGGTCCAATTATTTTCACACTATGTAGAATTTCCCTTGTTACGTACAACTATGTTGCGTGTACTTTTAACTTGGTCTCATATTTTTATTTCCTACTATCGAGAATTTTAGCTCTCGGCGATCCGTCGACTTTACTAATTGGCTGTATCGTTTTGTTCGTCTTGAGAGAGAGAGAGGGTTGTATGTACAGAGATGTATCCGCGCCACGATAGTGGGTAATAAAAATTACGATCTTACTTTCTGCATTTCAATTTGACTCCACTGTAAGTACACGCGCGTATACGTATAATCCATGGGCTTGATCGTACTATAAAAACGAGAGGCGAATTAAAAATAGCGCTCGCCCATAAGATATATATTCAAATGAAGTGCTCCTGCAATCGTGGTTATTGCGTATACGCGCACTCGCCGATGTCTTATTTCCCTTTTAATGGCCAGCGAATGAGGTGCACACGTGTATATATGTATGTATGTATGAACGCGCGAGCGCGGATTTTTCCACACGACACCCGCAGTTGCTGTCATTCAGCACTTATTACTGCCGCGGCGCGGGCACATCAACACCTTTTATTTTGTTAATTTCACGTCCCTCCGCGCGGCAAACCTGTCAATGAGCGAGACCTACATGTATACGTATACGCTTACAAATTGACGGTAAATAATTTCTTCGAGTGTGATGCATACGCTCTCGTGTATGAGAGACGCTTGGCGCAACCCTAATTGAGTAATTGAATTAGCGCGCGCGATGTGTCGCTTAAAGCGCGGGGAGAAAGGTAATTTAATCAATGCACGCGTACAATTTATTTGTTTCGAGTGAAAATAAAATACATACGCCCCGCTTGTTTTTTATATATAAAGTGGCGTTGTTACCGTTGATCTTTTGAATAGTTGGTTTTTTACGTGTCTTTTACCGTAACGCGTGTGTATGCAATTAAACGAGAATCAATATGAAAAGACATGAAAAGAAAAAAAAAAAAACAACAACAACAACGTGACCGGTTGATTGATTTATCTGTCGTGAATACAATCGTCGTAAAAACGCACAAACTCGAGCCGACTCTTTCGTTCGCGATAACATTGAATTTTAATATTATTCGCCGAAAAAAAAAAATCCTGTTTGGTTCCTCCACAAAAAAAAAAGTTGCAACAGGAAACAAACCAAATGATCTTCCCGGGACGATCGATGGGTATTCCTGTTAGTTACTGTAACTTTCCAAAAATAAATTAAAATATAGAGTCAATTTTATCATTCGTACATTTGTCCCCTTTTCCTCCTACGACTCTATACGTGTATATGAATAAATCCTCCGCCAATTCGCAATACTATAGACGAGTTGCATCGCTTTGAAGGAAAAGAAAAAAAAATTGTTATCCTCCCTATAGGTCAGATATCATCAGTATACAGTCGTAGCATTGATCGGATACGCGTGGGATTTTCGTGCATATTTTCCCCGCGCTTTTGTAAAATCCAACTTACGCGACGGCTTTTGCACAACTCTCGAATATTCCACAGCGCTCCTTGATGCATGCACGTGTGTACCATTGCTCACGACTCTCTGGACCAGCGCGCGAAATACTTGTCCGATGTGTGCACCCTTAACATCCACGTATACTTATGGCACGGATCTCCAGACACGAAGCATCGGATCGGCTTACCTGATGGAACTTTTTTTCCCCCATGACAGGATATAGTTGTACGTGCGTACACACGGTGTAGGGTGTACATGTAGATCGATGGATCGCGACACTGTAGCCCAAACGCCCGAGGAAACATCGCGTTCCAAAGAAGGAGACTGAAATTAAAATTCCCTCCTCTGCCTGCACGTTGCGCCCGTAAACTCCCAACTTTAGGTCAGCCAACAGTGGCTCATCTCGTATAGGTGTACATAAACCACGTATCTGTACCTACACCCTCGCGGCCGGTCAATCAATTCCCTCGTTTCCCGTGTACGGATTCCCCCGACGCGCGCACCTCGATCGTTGTTCTCTCGGGTTGTATGTATACTCGTTACAGTTGGCGTCTGGTTCGTTGACTCCTCGGGTGTACCTCTCCCATATACACACACTCGCGCGCAAGCTGCGAGATCGTGCCCGGGATCGGCAATCGAGCCAGACAGACTACTCCAAGTAGGCATGTATACACAACCCGCCCATGCGTTGCTTTTTTTCTTTTTTTCTCGCTACACTGCATCACCTATATATATACATATACATATATACCACGCCACACCATACGTGGTACTTGCAAGAAGATCAGTCGCTCGCGACCTATTCCCGAGTACGAGAAGCTCCGCTATCTCTTCTCTCTCTCTTTTATTTGCTGTACTGTATATACTTACCAGTGAGGTGTACGTATAGGCAGGTATAGAGTGTACACACCATGTGTCAGTGAGACTCTGGTTGCGCGGGAGCGCGGATGAGTGTCATGCTCGCCGAGGCTCTGCTCGCGCTTTACCTCCTCTATCGGCTGTTTGAGGCTTTCGCGGCTCATGTGCGCACATATAATACATATACATAATAATCCCACACACATGTACAACCTTTCGATGTTTTTACGAGCGAGTCGATCATCATCATCACCACCACCACCCCTTCATACAAATATATTGTCGTTGCAGGCCAAGTCGGAGGAACACCTTGCCCAGGAGCAGGCCTGGTTGGCGTCGGAGCGCGTCTGGTTGCTGCACCGCGGGGGCTTCACGCCAGCCTCGAGATGCGGCCCCGCGGATCCGGACACGGGCAAACTCCGGATTCGGCTGGTCAACTCGGCCGAGGAGCTGCTCGTCGACGAGGAAGACGTCGAGAAGGTACAAACCCCAACCTTGGTACAAAAAAAAAAAAAAAAAAAAAAAAAAAAAAAAAAAAAAAAAAAAAAAAAAANCATTTTCATAAGCGACTTGTGGGCACCTCTGCGGACGCAGACGCGCTCGTATGTGTTGCAATGACGAAAAATAAATACAGCAACGCCCGAGCAAGCCGGCATTGTTAGTTCGAGCCAGGAGCGCCGATAGAAAATGTATGTATACATACCCACTTCTATGTGAAACGACACTTTTGTTTTTTACCGTTGTATGAATCGTCGAAAATCCATATGTATGCGTGTACGGTCGAGGTCGAGTTTCTCAATGGCGAGGCGTTAAATTGAGCCGTACAGGTCTGCAATTGGTTTCCTGTTCCCATCCCCGACGCGAGCCTCACACGCTCTTTCTTTCCGTTCTGTACCATGGATGAAAAACGCAAAGAGGTCCATGGTACAGGGGAAATCGTCGAATCGGCGAGCGAGTTTTAGAATCGATTTCAATAAACGATTCGACTCGCGGCAAAAGAGCGAAATCACACGCGATCGAAATCGGTGAAAACGCGTGCATGATCTACTTGCTTTCGCGTCAATTGAAAGCCCGAGTTATCGAACCGAATCGTAGCATCGGCTACCGATTTTCTAGAAATCGGCAGAAGTGTATCCACCGATTCTCCACCCTCCGACTCGCTCTATTAACGAAAAAGAGAAAGAAAAAAATTGGTCTCAACAGCAGTTCGTCCATAAGCCGAAGAAAGAAGGTGACAGTGGAGGAGGAAACACGAGTCGTGGGCACTTTTCTTATATACATGCGCCTATATAGAGCCGCACCGCGTGTATATATTATAATACACTCTCCGCGTCTCTGTCTCGCTCGCGCTCCCCGCTCAAAGTCCACGCTGTGCTGCTGCTGGAGAGTAATATGGCATACGGAGGCGAGGAGCGCCGAGAGAGAAGGCGCGTGGAAACGCCAAAGGGTCGGCTCTCGCGCGACACACAGTCATCGCGGCTCCTCCGAACGCAGCAGTGCCCCACGCGCGCGCCACTACCGATCCGTTGAGGGTTAAAAATTTAAAAAAAAAAAAAAAAAAAAAAAAAAGTTTGTTTAACGACAAATGTGACCCGATAACAGGCGAATCCGCCGCAGTTCGATCGAGCGGAGGACCTGTCGCAGCTGCGCTTCCTCAACGAGTCGTCGGTGCTGCACACCCTGAGGCAACGCTACGCGAGCAATCTCATTCACACTTACGCCGGCGACAGTATGGTCGTCATCAATCCCGCGGCGCCCTTGGCCATTTACTCGGAGAAGGTGAGCGGACCTTTTTCTCGTACTCCGCACGCTCGATCATTGGAATCAAAGACTCGGGGGAGGAAAAAAAAAAAACGTTTTTTTTTTCTACCCACCGGAGAGTCGTCGCGATGCAATTGGGTCGGGAGCGTAGGATCCAAGTGAAAAAAAATGATTTTCCGTAGGTGGTCCAGATGTTCAAGGGCTGCAAGAGCGAGGACATGCCGCCGCACGTCTACGCGATGGCCCAGTCGGCCTACCGGGGCATGCTGGCCACCCGCCGCGACCACTCGCTGGTCTTCCTGGGCCGCAGCGGGAGCGGCAAGACGACGAGCTTCAAGCACGCCCTCCACTACCTCGTGCTCGCCGCCGGGGCCGTCAACAAGATCCTCACGGTCGAGAAGCTCAACGCCCTGTTCACCGTGCTCGAGTCATTCGGCAGCAGCCGCACCCACATGAACAGCAACGCCACTCGCTTCACCCAACTATTCAGCCTCGACTTTGACCAATCGGGACAGATAGCCTCGGCATCTCTCCAGGCAAGTATGCCGCGTTCCCACATGTATTCAGGGCGATTGTTGCTGACGATGGTTTTATTCGACTACCACCGTATAGGTGCTGCTGTTGGAGAAGTCGCGGATAGGCCGGCGCTTGAACGGCGATCCGACTTTCCACGCGATCTACCGGCTGTTGGCCGGGGCGGAGGGCACGCTGCGCAAGGAGTTGCACCTGACGAACCTCGTGACCGAGAGCAACAGCAACCCGTTCGTCACGCCCCTTCAGAAGCACGAGGACAAGCAGCGCGCCCAGGTCGAGTTCAATCGCGTCGTGGCGGCCTTCCGGGTGCTCGGGGTCACCGAGCAGGAGGAGCGGGCCCTGTGGTTCGTCCTGGCCGGTGTCTATCATCTGAGCTGCGCGGGTGCGGTCAAGGTGGGCACGGGTTCCCAGAGCCGCTGGCAGTTCGCGAGGGTCGAGGGTGCCGAGAAGGCGGCCAGTCTTTTGGGCACGAGTGTCGAGGAGCTGAGCAGGCTGTTGTTCTCGAGCAACGGGCCGGGCTCGGTTGGCGCGCCCAGTGCCGCCCCTAGGACACCCGCGCTCAGGACGCCCAGCCCGACCGAGCAAAGCAAGGATGTCACTGGACTGGACGCCCTCGAGGGCTTGCTCGTGGGATTGTACTCCGAGGTCTTTCACTGTGTCGCTGCTCTAGTCAACAAGTGAGCGCTCGACTCTTTCCTATCTTCTTTTCTTTTTTTTTTTTTTCCATTTGAAAAGGAAGAAAATTGTTTATGGTCTCCAACTTGCAGATCTATAACTTCGTCGGTGCACACAGTGTCGTCGCTGCTGCTCTGTGACGCCCCGGGATTTCAAAATCCGGCGACCTGCGGACGTCAGACGGGAGCGAGCTTCGAGGATCTCTGTCACAATTACTTGCAGGAACGTTTACAGTTGCTGTTTCATCATACTACTCTAGTTGCCCCCAAAGATAGGTACGACACATTCCTTTTGATCATGTTTTTCCCCCCTACTTACGAGTAATTAATTTATTCTTTTTTTTTACGCTCGTTGTAGATACGTACAGGAAGGGATCGATATCGATCACGAGGACGAGATCGAGGAACTTGGATCACCTCAGGGTTTGGTCTCGTTGCTGGACCGAGGAAATTCACAGAGTGCCACGATGTTACGAACAAGCCAAAGCGATTTGAGCAGTTGTCGACAGCTGGAGAGGAAGGGCCTACTGTGGCTCTTGGACGAGGAAACGGTGTGTCCCGGTGGTAGCGACGAGAGCTTTCTGGATCGGCTGTTTTCGCATTACGGCGACAGAGGTAGGCTTTTGCTTCTCATACTTTGCGATTTTATTTTAGGAGATCTGAAAAAAAACTAAAAGAGCAAATTTAAATTTCTTTCAGAGCATCAAGTGCTACTCAGAAAAGCACCGGGAAACAATCAATTTGTTCTGCAGCATTTACAGGGAACGAATCCGGTACTTTATACTGCAACTGGTTGGCTGAAGGCCACACGCGAAAATCCTTTCGCGAAAAGTGCAATAACCATCCTCCAAGAGAGTAATAGGTAATTGATCTCGTGGAACGTAGCAACTTGGTCGGAAAATATTGATCTCGCGTTTTATTTTTCAGAGACGAAGTCAGCAGGTTATTCGTTTGCGCACGAGGTGCTGGAGTTTCTGGTGCTCTGAGTGGATCGATTCATGGTCTGGAAGGCTCTCAATCTCTGCGGAGAGCTTCGAGTATAAGGCGCACCTTTACAGCCGTGAAACGAAAAAACGTTTGTTTGCAAGTCAAGTTTACAGTCGTAAGTATCGCATTTTTTAAATTTTACTTCATCGAGCTTTTTAAAACCATCCAGAGTTTCATCTTAGTTTGACACATACGAATCGATACAAGATCGAGGAGAAATAAGGTCAAAGTCGAGAATCTTATCAGCAGTAAACACGTACTCTCTAAGCCTTCTCAGTTATTGTCTCTTATCGCGCGACAAACTCTCGAAGTAGAATATTCTCCTCGTACAAGATATTAAAATGTTTTTCTTACATTTCTGCAATCTGACTATAATATTTATTCTTTTTTACTTCACAGACATAGCTGTAAGATCTGCACGAGTAAGTTTTTCATTATTCACGTTAAATTATTCTTCTTTCATTGTAGGACGGTCTTATCGAGACGCTGAGGAGAACGCGAGTGAAATTCGTTCACTGTTTCTTACCTCAGCACAATGCCGGATGTACGGAAAACAAGAGTCTTTTATCCGTCAAACCAAGTCAAAGCGAAGACAATCTTATCAACGTCCCACTATTACGATCACAGGTGAGTTGACAAAATGTTTACAAAACGATTAACTTCTCAGCGCGACTCTTTCATATTTTTGCGTCATGTCAGATCATCGTATGAGCTGTAAAACAAATTTTAGTCTATAAATAAATGTTAATCGACCGATCTGAGATATTATTATGGTGTATATTGTTAATAGTCCCATAAATATGTCTCTAACTTTTCATCACAGCCTCAGTAACTCAGCATGCTCTTTTTCCGTAAAATTATTATTTACTTTGTAAAAAAAAATTAACAAATAAATAAATAAAAAAATCAATCTTGTTACCAGGTGAGGGGCAGTCAAATTCTGGAAGCAGTGCGCCTTCACAAAGTCGGCTTTCCCAAACACATGCCGCTCAGCGAATTTCGTCGGCGCTTTGCCCTCCTGTCGAACGACACCTCGACTCGCCCCGGAAGCCCCGTGGCCGACGAACGCAGAGCCGTCGAGGACATGCTTCTATCCGTCGACGTCGATCCTGCCTCCTACCGCGTCGGTCAAAGTCAGGTAAGAGCAAACTTTCGTAAGATCAAACCAGCTGGCGCTGAGGTCGTCTTTCAAATGTGCGACTCGGTGTGCCGCGACCAGAGAGAGAGAGAAATCCCTAGCGCGGTTTTACGGAGGAAAATATACATCGTGGCTTTGATTTTCAATTTTGCAGTGTACGCTCATTCAGCGGGACTAATCGTAAAGTAGTTTTCTTTGGAGGAATCGTGAAAGGGAGAAAGCTTAACGACGACAGCCGCACATCTGTCAAACGCGATTTCGAGTTATTACTCGCGAGGAGTAAAGTCGCGAATGACGTTAATCGAAAAATAATTCCACGGTGGACCGTGTGCGCTGCGTTTGTGCTGGCGATGCATGAGCTCGAGTAAAAATAAAAAGAGCGATCTCTGGAAAATACCAAAGTTAGTGAAACTCTGTAGGGGCAATGAACAAATGACGTACATAAGCCATTGCAACATCGTTCAATTGTACCTTTTTGCCTACAAAAAATTCCAATGCCCAATAACATTCAAATAATCAAACATGCAAATAAAGTAGGCAAAGATCCACTAGTCGAGTGCGCACTCAGCTTGTTTCCGTTAGTTTGCGAGTTTCTCCATTTCTGATGGCCAATAAGAAAGCGGATGCGGCGTAGTGACTCTCACATGTGAATAATAACCAAACGGGTATAGGTACCTACTTTCCTTGTCGTTGAAATAACGAAAAGGATCTCCCAGGAAAAAGGAATAAAGGAAAGATGAGCAGGTGCTGTGGATACGCACTGTCACTCCGCCCCCTAAGTATGAAATTTACTAAAATCAAAAGTGAAGCTTATAATTACTCGTCCACTTAGTACGAAACAGTTATTGTAAATGGATCTAAAAATTTGTAATTTAAATATTTTGGAAACAGAGTAAGATATATTTTATTCATTTATTTCGTGATCGTGACAAAAGTTTAAATGGTTAATATTGGGATAAGAACGTGGGTTGAGCAAATTCTACCACATTTGTCATTCAGTCAGTACAGTACGCAACTACAACGGGCTTTTGATGTCGTGGCGCTCATAGATTCAGGATATTTTAAACAATGACTCTCCAATATGCCGATTAATTTGCACCTTCTATCACATTCCGCTTTTCCAACTTTGTCACATTCCCAACACAGTACTGTAATCAAAGACATGTTTTTGAGACAAGCACGTATACAATAATTATTGATCGTTCGATTTTCTTGAAAAAAAGGTAAGTGAACCCCTTGGAAAACACCGAAAAATTAGTTTTCTTCTATTGATAGAAGGAATTAATATTTTACAGCAAAGTTTAAAGGTCCTACCAAATTGTTTTTTGCGTTATTTGTTTTTCTCCGCAGTTAATGTAACCGTAGTACTCTAAACGATAAACAATCGATTTTAAATGCACAATAAATAATGTTGCCTTTTTTCTATATAACTTTTAGTTTTTATTTGGACGCTTTGTCAAGCAGTTTAATGAAATATAAAATTCGGACTTTTAATATTAGCGTAATTTAATAAAAAAATAATTCTCATGTAAGATATTTATGTATACCGAAAATCACTTACCATTGCAGATCACAAGGTTCATTATTAAAATAAAAGCTAGGCAGCTACTAATTCTTTTGGTTATAGCCATTGCTCCTTGTACTCCTTTAAACGGATTACGTTAAACTATATTGCATCTTTTCCAACAACGAATATAGTATATACTGTTGAAGTCGTCAATTTTATCAAAACGATAATGACCCCACTCCACAAATGTAAGCAAGATCATGAGGAAAAAAATTGCGTTGCTTGAAAACTATTTTAATAATGTTTACTGAACAGCTTGATACCTTCAATCTACCTAGTGTAAAAATAAGTTAATTGCATTTTTGTTTTTATCAATCGTTTAGTTTTAATTATTGAATTCCAATTAAAGTTGATTCGCATACGGTCTTAGTTTTATTTTTATACATCGATACTGGATTTTCATTATAAATTTCACACATCGACACTTCTACTAATGAAAAACAGTCTGCAACTCTCAATTATCAAGTACTATCGGTCAATATTTAATATATTTCTGACATTATTCAGTTTTATCGCAAAAACTGTATTATTTCATGTTACAGCCATTTATAACTCTCTAAATCATCTTGGGTCAGAAATTATTCCAAGTATCATGCGTACATTATTTTATTTTTATTTTTTATTGAATTGCATTTATGAAACAATAAGAATTAGGTCCTTTAGGATCTATTTTTATTATACGAAAACCAGTATGAAATAATTGGAGTACAATAAAAAGAGTATTTCTAATAATGATTCAAATTAAATTAAAGCTGCGTACGTACTGCATGAGGTGACTTTCGAATATACATGTCTCAGGATCGCCACATTTGTCCTTGGGAACTCTCTCACGTTTCGCGTAACAACGGCCCTTCAATGAACCTAGTGTACGTACGTTGTTTTGGAAAAAATGCTATTAAAACTTTCCAACGATCCATCTCCAAGTGCAGCAACACTATGAGATGATAATACATACGTTGGGTTGACAGGGTCTAATAACACTGAACAGGTTTGTCGAAGGGCCGTTGTTACACGAAACGTGGGAGTTCCCACAAGGCCTTTGGACAAGTATATTCGAAAGTCACCTCCCGGAGTACACCTGCGTAGTGATTCATCGACCTATAATCATTTCTAACATTAACTAATTTTAATCATCGAATAACTCAATTTCATCAATAATTTATCATTAAATTTGCAGTCATGCATAGCTAGAGGATACATAGGAACTTTCAATAATTGATTTTCCAATGTATTGATAAATAAATTATTTTGGTCTAATTGTTATGAACTACTTTTTGTGTAAAATTAGACTATCGTCTAAGGCATTGAAAGAAAGGGGGCAACATGAAGCAAAAAACGACACTATGTAAGTACTAGGCTCTAAATGTGATTAAACAAAAAAATTAAGGACACAGCGGGAAACGTTAATTTTATTTAAAATTATACCAACATGGATAAGGTTGCGGTCGTTACCGCTACATAAATTTTACGCATTTTTTTCCTCATGATCTTGCTTACATTTGTGGAGTGGGGTCATTATCGTTTTGATAAAATTGACGACTTCATGAGTATATATATTCGTTGTTGGAAAAGATGCAATATAGTTTAACGTAATCCGTTTAAAGGAGTACAAGGAGCAATGGCTATAACCAAAAGAATTAGTAGCTGCCTAGCTTTTATTTTAATAATGAACCTTGTGATCTGCAGTGGTAAGTGATTTTCGGTATACATAAATATCTTACATGAGAATTATTTTTTTATTAAATTACGCTAATATTAAAAGTCCGAATTTTATATTTCATTAAACTGCTTGACAAAGCGTCCAAATAAAAACTAAAAGTTATATAGAAAAAAGGCAACATTATTTATTGTGCATTTAAAATCGATTGTTTATCGTTTAGAGTACTACGGTTGCATTAACTGCGGAGAAAAACAAATAACGCAAAAAACACTTTGGTAGGACCTTTAAATTTTGCAGTAAAATATTAATTCCTTCTATCAATAGAAGAAAACTAATTTTTCGGTGTTTCTGTATCATTTTTGCATACAAAAAATTTATGCTGAGTCCTAAGGATCGTTTGGAGTAATGGTGCTAGGTGCAGTTGGCATATATCAATAATATAGATGTACCACCGTCATTATAGATGATCCCTGAAGTAAAATGTGTAATGTAAAATTGTAGCTTTTCGAAAACCTACGTAATTCGGGTTTTAAACTTTTGTTTGTCGTAAAACTACTTGTATTTGACATAGTGGCCAGAAAACCGGGTTTTTCAGAATTTTTGGCAATTTTGCGGTCGGAGGGGTCCACTTAACTTTTTGTCTAGATAATCATAAGGTCAAAAAACTGTATTACATACATGCTCGTCTCAAAAACCTGTCCTTGATTACAGTACTATGTTGGGAATGTTACGACAGCGAGAAAACAGAGTGTGAGAAAAAATGCAGAGCAGTACACATCTTAGAGAGTCAGTGTTATAAAGATGCTTTATTTGCGGGAAATGTTGGCACGACGAAATCAATCACCTATTGCAGGTGTGTGGTACACTGATTGCATCATTTGGATCACAAGTTTGTCGGAGTTGGACCAACCCGCGCCATTTTTCCAAAATTAACATTTAAAAATTTTGTTAGTTTTATCATGACGAAATAAATGAAAGTAATGTGCATTACTTTGTTTCAAAAATTTTAAAATCATGTATCCGTTTGTTCGTTTTTCATAGTGGCTTGTTACCGAGTTACTCAGAAGCCTCCCTCAGACTGAACGTGGAGAAGACAATACCCACAATATTTGGATTGAGAGTAACTAAAAATTTTCTTGTAGACAAAGGGCTCTACAGTATTGAGATGGGGAAAGGTTTGTTAGTGCCATTTTCGGGACGCCACATCAGTTACAATAATTTTTTCCTCGTTTCGGAACAATTTTTGCGGTAAAAGTGAAAAAATCGTTCCACCAGCTCGTGCCCTTCAGGGCGGATTTCCCCGGAACAAATCCCAGCGCATAAATTAACTCTCGCCCAAACGTCCCCTAACGGCTAATGAGCGGCATCTATAGTCTCGACGAGCAAGCAAGAAATCCTCGCCAAAGCTTGGAATCCGCTTGTCATCGAGTCATCGAGCGAAAGCCCAAGCCAAAACTATAGCTTGCAGCGAGTGTCCAATCCGAGTTTCGCGCTTAGAGTGTGTTTACGTATGCAAGCTGGGGGTGCGCGCTTTCTCGGCCGGCTCTGGTGCATACGACACAGCGCTGAAACGAGGTGTCCTTTCGCTCGCGTGTGCGGATCACTTGGTAAACACGGACTTTCTTTCGCTGGGCTCCGGCGCGCGGTGCCCGTTGTTTTGCGAATAGGCGATAATACGTGCACGTGATATAATGCACGGCACACGATTCGAGCTTGTTTGTTCGTTCACGCCTCTGGAAAACTGGTCGGGCCTTAATTAGCGGCCGCGCGTGT